TGATGAAACGATATTGTAGTTAAACATTTGTGATGTAAAAATCAACTTTTCATTAAATAATTGATATTATATAGATATAATATTTACTTAATCAAAAATAAAAATTGAACTGCACGCTTATAATCTTGTTAGGTATTTATATTTCATTCAGACTTAATCGAATTCATTTATTTTTTTATAGTGTGATTAATCAATTTATATTTAATTTTCTAAGAGCTTTGACAATAATATGACATTTAATTGCTATTTGGTAAGCTTTAAAACAAAAATCGAAAATACGTTGAATAATAATAAAGTAAAGGCAAGCAGCAGAGTTATCAATATTAAGTGTCTCATTGTTCATTTAAAATTGTTGATGACGTTGAAATTAAATAAATTTAGTACATAAAAACGAGCATAAATTATATAAATACTAGAAATTCCCCCATCAAGCATGACTGAATCTAACGGGTTCGTTAGATTATTACTTCTTACTGAATTACTTTTAATTAGTAATAATCAGGCTATAATCAACCTGTGTTAATAAATATAATAGATAATAAATTAATTTAAATAATAATTTATATATTGATTTTGTAAGTTATTTTTTTCTGGTATTACAATTAGCTTAGATTATTCAGGTATATAGTTTTATATGTATTTATATAATCGAGACGAGTTAATAATAATAAGCGCAGAGCCCAAACGGTTAGGAGTTGAAAGCTGAAATTTGGTACACAGTTAGGGTACGTCACGAAAACGCACACTAAGAAGGGATTTTTCGAAATTCCCCCCACGGGGGGAGAGGGACAAGATTAAGCTTAACACTTCCATCAGCAATAGAAGTGTTAAGTAACAATGGAAGTGTCAACAATGGACCTGTCAACAATGGAAGTGTTACGTAACAATGGAATTGTTAAGAGAAAGTGCAGTTTTTTTCGTTTTTGTAGGAAATCGAAGATATTTTAGACCCATCTAAAAATTCTCTAATTAATCTGGAAACGGGGGACCCAATTCTTGCATTCTGTGAAAACGTGTAATGTTGACTATAACGTAATAATCTTAATTAATCTTCGCTATCGTTACCTTTGCCCAAGCAACGCCGGGTCTACCTGCTAGTACAAATATATAAGCGTTATCTTTTCTTCAATATACGAAACATCTTTATTCTATTTAATAAGTGTATAAATACAAAACGACATATTCACAAAGGTAAAAAAACCTTGTTTCTGTCTATCCTTCCGCCGTTTCTACATCATCAGCAATATTTAATCTTTATTCTAGATTTAGATTTATATTTTACATACGTTATTTAAATATATCAATATTTTTGGGAAGGTTTTGTTTACATTATACACGTAAAATACGGGGACGTCAAAAAGGTTTCTCTGTTATTATTGACGCTCTCTTTACTTTCAACCTTGATAACAGTTCTGGGTTATCGCTACGTACGGACCTAAATCTAGACTTCTTGACGTAATAGAAGGAATTCGTGAGCTAAAAGAAATACATTAGAATATTCGAATAGGGTTTTTTGTGATAATCATTGATACCTTTCTCTAATTTAGAAAATTTATTTTAATTTAATAATTACTTTAGTAGTTGCCATACATAACCGAGGGAAACTATGGCGATCGGTCAAAAAATGATCTTTCCAAGATTTTTAGTTGTTTTGAACTCGGGATCTTAATTAAAACGTAAAAAAATATTTTAAAAAATAGTTTGGAGGTATTTTCATGTATATACGGATGTTCGTGTGGGTGTGTGTTGAATGCACTATTTTGTTCACTTTTTCGAAGCATTATAACTCATTTGTTTGCTTTCTGTTCGAAATTTTGAAATTTTTAAAAATGTTTTTGTATTGGGGCATTGATGCAATTTAATTTTGGTGTTTAAAGTCGAAGGGGTAAACAGACAAACAAAGGTCGTGTCTAGGGTTTGTCATTTCCCGGTCTTTTGCTTGTCCCGGGATTCCGAAATAAAAGGGAACTGTTTCCCGGGATAAAATTGATAATTTTTAAAATATACAAAATATCATGAAATCAAATGATATAATTGTTTTTTGTTTTTTAAAGTAATTTAAATGTTCTGTAACCTCCAAAATCATATTAATAATGCTGTGTAAGATATACATTAAAAATTACTTTTGAATTACGTAGAAATTTTTACAAATAGAAAACATTTATTAAAGTTTGCTGGAAACTGCATACAACAAAAAAATGTTTTGAATTGAGTTAAAAATTTTTAAAAATGAACTTAGATTAAACTTTTAAATTAGACGATAATTTCGTTTTTAAATAAAATATAATACAAAATATTGTAAATTTTTATAATAAGATTTTAAAAAGAAAAGATGGTTGATACTCTGATCACTCGATCTGGTTCTTATTTTAGTAATGAAAAGTCCTGCTACCGAGAACCCCTTTCCGATTCAATTGATGTGATTGGAATCGTGTTTAATGCATTTAAGACAAGACAGATAGATATTATGTGTTTTTCACCTGTAGCCTGGAAGATTTCTAGTTCATTTTCGAGATTGTACTAAAGATCATACTTCTTTTGCTCTGTAGTATTCTTGCTTTCTCTACCTCGACTGCCTTAATAGAAACATCATAGGCCAATAATTCGGCAGTTCATTTGTCTTTAATAATCAGGTTTTTGAAGAAAAACTTCATACTTGTACACTACGTACTCTTTTGTATCCTTGCCCAATTTTCACAACCTGGAGTTAAGCATGATTAAAAATTAAGACAGCGTAATTACAATTATTCCAGATATTACAGGTTCTGACAAGTAAAGAATTTTCAGAGTCCTGTCACAAATAAGCTACATATTGATTATTGACCATTTGTGACATGCCATAACGAGCAACAATTAAAAAAAAGCTAATAAGTAGATTTAAAATTAATAAATACAAATGTATTCTGACAGTTTACAAGTTAATTATACTTTCTATTCGCAAAATTTTCTCGACCTTAACACAAAATAAAAAACATGTGAACTTTTAAGAAATTTGTGAAATTTTTCGAAATTAAAAGAATTTCTCGGGTTAAAAAGCAATTGAGATCCTGAGATCCCGTTTGAGAAATCCTATTAAACATAAACAACATCATATTAAATCCGCTATAGTAAGATTAACTTTTCCACGTATAGATGGTAAACGTGGCCTAATCGACATCACTAAAATCAAATACAGACACTGCAAGAGGTTTTCTACAAAATCACAGTTACATAAAGCAGCAATTCTAGCATCAAATAAAATACCACTAAACTTACGACACAACATATAGAAAGCATAGATACCATTAAGCAATCGTGGGCTCGAAAGGCACTCCATGGCAGGCATCCCTACGAACTGTCCCAGGAGTTTCTTGACAAAACTGCATCAAATAGACGTTTTAAGAAGACAGAAAGATTCATGATTGCCATACAGAATTAGGTCATAAATACTAAAAACTACAGAAAACACATACTTAAAGATACAACACTCACAAATTCACATGCATGAAATGTCACATTATGCCNACTAATAAGTAGGTTTAAAATTAATAAACACAAATGTGTTCTGATAGTTTTGAGGAAATTTTGTAAATAGAAAGCATAATTAACTCAATCTTAACACAAAATAAAAAAATAGTGAATTTTTTAGAAATTTGCTGGATTTTCCGAGTTAAAAAAACAACCGTCTTCCCGTTTGAGAAACCCTAGATGTGTCATATCTGCAGTAATGTCTTTACTGGAGAGATGACACACGACCCTCGTTCACAAACTTAATGATGATTTAACTCGTTATTCCCATTGAGAATTTTTTTTATAAAACTCATTCCTATTAAAAAAAGTAAGCGTTTTCTATTTTATAATAATAATAATAATAATAATATGATATTTAATAATTAAACAGTTTTTATAACAGGTGGCGGCGCGCACACAAATGAAATGTTGTCCGGTAAGTTAAGCAACTCGTTGCTGGATATTTTTATTGATGTATTAGATTAAATTTAATGAAATTTTTGATTAATCAATATGATTATAGTTCAGATTCGAATACCAGAGAAGATTTTTGAAAAATTTATTTTAATTTTTACTAAATGTGTACACTGTTAATATGAAATAATTAAAGAAGAGAATTTATATATTTTAAAACATTTAGCATATAGAATGGAAATTTTAATCACTGTATCAGAATACATTGAATATGAATCTGTCATATTTAAGTTCGTTTTATTTTTTCCATTCAGTTAATTTTCATCTTGAAAATACAGAAAACGGAAACTAATAAAGGAAAAGAAACTAAGTTTAATCCTGCAAGAATGAAATCTACGATTTACTCTGAAGTATTTGTATTTTACAGGCTCGAACGTTGTAAATCTTTTTATAGGAAACGTGTTATGAAGGAAGTATTTTATAAAAAATACAATATTCGTTTTATTCGAATTTAACATATTATACAGTTATACATTTAACAATACAAATGAATAGGATTATGAATAAAACATTCTAATGTTAAGAAACTCAAATTAAATTAAATTTTATAGAATTTATTTCATGTGTGTTGTTACTTTCAGTTGTTCTTTGGATGAAACACAAAGATTAGAAGAAAATATTTTCCAAGATTAAAGAAACAAATTGTATATTAGATACTGTTTTCCTTACATCGATGCTTTTTATTGTAATATATAATTGAAGAAGCAGGAGAGAGATCTATTTGATGGAATAAGGATCAATGGAAGAACAGGAAGATACACAAACACTTTTAAGACGTTTTACAGAAATTGTTTACTTTAATATGTCAGCATTGATTATCGGTGTTTGAAAATATTATTAGTAATATGATATATTTATACTCGAACTTTGTCATTTGTAAAATTAGTTTTTTGGTTTGATACAGAAATCTGCTTTTAGATATAAAAATGTTTATTTTTAGTTAAATATTATTAGTGGATAATTATTGTTGTAATTGAAGAAAATTAATTGATTATACACAGATAAAGTATTATTTCAAACAAGTTTTTTTATTGCAGATAAAAGGAACAGAAAGAAATTTTCATGTAAACACTGTAAGAAGAATTTCAAAACGAAACAACATTTGCAAAATCATGAAAGAATACATACAGGAGAAAAGCCTTACAATTGTGACGAGTGTAAACAGAAGTTTTCTGAAAAAGGAAACTTAATTAGACATCTTCGCATCCACACCGGAGAAAAGCCTTACACATGTGACGAGTGTAAACAGAAGTTTACACAAAGGGCAGCCTTAATTACACATCTTAGGACTCATACAGGAGAAAAGCCTTATACTTGTGACGAGTGTAAACAGAAGTTTTCTGAAAAAGGAAACTTAATTGAACACCTTCAGACCCGTACTGGAGAAAAGCCTTACACTTGTGATGAATGTAAACAGAAGTTTTCACGGAAGCAGCACTTAATTAGACATCTTCGCACGCATACTGGAGAAAAGCCTTACATTTGTGATGAGTGTAAACGGAAATTTTCACAGAAAGATAGCTTAATTAGACACCTTCGTATCCACAACAGAGAAAAACTGTATGGATGACAATTATTTCCAAAGAAATTCACTCGAAATACGGACCTGAATAAACATTACAAGATTCACAATTAAAAACAATTTTGCTTTGAAACTTATAATTTTTATTTATG